TAAACCATTCATTTCATTGTTTACCCTTTTTAAGGATATCATGTCTAAAAAAAAGGAAAAAATATTTTTGAAATCTCTTCTTTATTCTATGACACCAAAAAAAAATGTAATTTGCAAATATAAAACAAATATTCAAGACAAAAAAGAAACATTAAAATTAAAATGAACAAAAAAGAACAATTCTATCGTCCCAGTATTTGTAAGCATGTGTGTAATACATTCGGATGTACAAAATATATACAGAAGACATTTTGAAAGACAGAAAGAATCCCCTAAGCTTGGTAAATTTTTTTCAAGAGAACAATTTTTATTGTCAATGTAGGTAGTGTTAAGAACTGTTCCAGTGAAATTTTCATGTGTTGTTAATGACAAAAAAGTTGAAAATATTTTAACCGCGATAAAGGTAACAAACGCAACAAAATCGGTCGCAAAAAATTTCCCTAAATTAAGATTTTCATCAAGTTGTTTCTTCTCTAATAATGTAGTGTTAACACAATAAAATATCCCATTCGAATTGTTCCGAACTCCCAATTATACCAAATTCTCAAGAAGCTAAAATTATCATAGATCAAACTAAACTCGCAAGCTCCATAACAAATAATAAACTCAAACTTTCTAAATATGTGTTTTGTACCAAATAAAAATTTATAAAAATGAGAGGAGTTCCTAAATTAGGGAAAGCTTCATAGTTTTTTAAACACAAAAACTTAAAGATTGGAATTAAACATCCTGTATTTCTTTAACAACATATTCTTTTTTTATATAAGAAGCGTACCAATCTTTTAGAATTTTAAAGTAGGCGTCTGGTAAATAAAATTATTCGTCTTAATTTATAGATATTTGAGATTTCTTTATTTTATTATGATTGTCTCTATTATTGATATACCCAGATAAATGTACTTAAAGCCCTATATAGACCTGAGAAAAAATCATTAAAATATTGAAAAATTTTTTGAAATTCTGGAAAAAAAATAATTTTTGTTAGCTACACATAAGACCACAACAACCGACAAGGAAGTAATAAATTAGCATTATTTTCTCGTATAAAATATTGTTTATAGAGGCATGGTCTGGGATTTATTGAAGGGCCTAAAATTTGAATTAATTTATTGTAATGTACAACTTTCGGTTATTGAAACGCATAATCAATGCTTCTTCATATTTCAATCCAAGCATATTTTTTCCCAACTCAATCAAAATGAATCCGTATTTTAATAATAATTTTTTTTTCAGATCTCCAATGTCCAATTTTTATTATGAAAACAAAAAAAAACAAAAACCTTTCCTTCAACAACATTCCACCTCATCTTTAAATCTAAATCTATATGCACAAATCCCAAGTGAAACCCAAATATAATAATATGAAAAACGAATTTGAATTGAAATAGAATTGAATAAAAATTTTGAATAGAAAAAGACTAAAATAACAAAAATAATTTTTATTTCCCACATCCATTGTCTCTTATGAAAATTTTTTACTCACGACCCCTCTTTTATAGTTTGATTTCCTTTTTCACTCTGTCCTTGTTATTTTTTTTCTATTTGTTTTGTGATTATAATTTTAAAATCTATACGTATCTATACGTATGGTATATATATTTTAAAAACATATATTATTTACATACAAGCATACTTCTACCTAATTACAAGACTATTTTAACATTGCTTTTTATGTACTCATTCATGGCTGTATGATTCAAATATACATATGTAAATATTTATAGAACAATTAGAGTATAACACTTGCATTGTTAATTTTGTATTTATGTAGTCATGTAAAATAAAAAAAGGAAAACAACAAAAATAATATTACATACTATATTTTATATTATGAACTTAAAATTTTTTTCGTCCTTGATAAATTTAACTTTACTACAACATACCAATTATATAATATATACGTTAATGTGTCGTTCATATGACGCACTTTACATATAAATGAACATGAAAGAAAAAGCTTCAAACATAATTACACGAAAACCTTAGATTAGTCTCAAAACAACACTTTGTAGAACCTGTTGGTTTTTTCACTATTCATCTATACATTTACCAAAAAAAAAAAAAAACAATATGAGAAAAGTCCAAATAAAAAATAATTTTTTTATACCATCTTGCTTTTTTAACAATCTTTTATATTCATTTTAATGTACACATGCTCTAATAAAGTTTCCACATATACGAGCCATTTCATTCACTTTTTTTATAAATTTTCATTTTTGTTTCATTACTCTAACAATATTCTGTATTCGTGTATGTAATATTTGTAAAAATATACTAAAAAAGGAAGTAAAAGAAAGCAAGAAGAGAAAAAACAAAATCCCTTAAAACGTACGACAGAAAGAGAAAAAAAAATTATAATATTCTAGTTCAACATTTTCAGTGTTGTCCCGCTTTCCTAACAGAAATTCCAAAAAAGTAAAATAAAATCCGAGAAGAAAAACGAATGAAAAGAAACGAGAGAAAAAAAAAACAAAAAGGATTTAATGCTTTTATTTCTTTCCTCTTTTTTCTTTCTATCAGTTCTTCCTTTTTAAACTCAAACAATTCCCAGTTATAACAAGATCAAAACAAATACAACAAAATGCAATAAAAAAATACGACAAAAAAATTCTCTCTGCTCTTTTTGTTTTGTTTTTTTTTTTATAACGTTTTGCTTTTAAAAAACGTCACAACTATATTTTGAAAATACCGTAGGTGTTGGTTGGGGTAGAAGTAATTTCCATAAAATTTTAGTATAATTTTTTTTTATTTATTTATTTTTTTTTTCTCAATTTGTTACAGTTGCAGTGGTTTTCTATTTTTTTCTATTACATTTACTTTTTGTTATTCTGTTTGCATTTTTGTTATTGTAACAATTTTGTTTCTATTTTCAAAAAAAAAAAATATTTTTAACACGCATGTGCCTTAAATTATTTTCAAAACATAAAACAACAAAAATTATACATAACATCGTATTGTAATATCGTATTTCTTTGAAACTATGTAATTGGTATGTGTTTTTTAACATCCTTCTTCCGTACTTAATGTATATGTATATATGTACGTTGAAACAAAGAAATTAATATAAAACCAAGTGATAGTACAGGAAATTGCTATAATAATTTCGTGTAAAAGGGACAAAAAAAATTTTCACCAAAAACTTTGCATATATTTGGGCGAATACTAAATTTTCTGCAAATATTTCTATAAATTTTTGTAGATGCTTTATTTCGCTCTGTTACAAAAACTTATTAAACTTACAAAATTGAGTATTTTATATTTAAAACTATTTTAAAATAAAATTGAAATAATTTTGTCAATTATCTATATTTAAGTTGTATCTGTATATTCTGTAGAAGATAGAGCAACTTTAAATTAAAATAGATTTAAGCACAATCAAACATAAATTTTACAAAAAAAAAAGCAATTTTCAATTTCACAAATTTAGTATATTCAATAACGAAGAAAAAGTTAAGAAAATTACTTAAACTTTAAAGACTAGACAAAACTAAATGTGAGAAATAACGGAAATTATTCATTCTAAGGGATATCTGATAAGTTATATAAAAGCTCGAATTTGGTTCAATTTTCTTGTTTATAAAATAATTGAGCATTGCAATTCGAATAACTATTTACATTTATTTAAACTCTTATAGGACTTATGTAGCTTGTCTAAATTTTAACCAAATGAATATAATATAAATATGGTGCTAGCATCTACTAGTGCACATCATTTTTGACATTTTGATGTCAAAAATGATGTGTACTATAAACTCAATAACTTTTTTAGTTTTTTAGAGAAATTATCGGACAAACGGAGAAGTAGAGCTAAATCAATTCAGAGTTCAGCTTTTAGCTCTTTTTTGTTATTTTTAGAATCGTTTTTTAGTTTCGCAATTTTTATTGTTTCTGTTGATTCTTCAATGTTCCTTACTTTATTTTACGAGTATTGATAGATTATTTTGCTTACATACTTTAATACTCATATTACATGAACTATATATATATATACATAATTTATATTAAATTTGACTCAGCCAAAAGAAAAATTTCTCAATGTCAATGTGTTTCATACGTATTTCGTAATGTTTAATCGGACGAATTCCTCAAAAAAAAGATTTGATTCTATTACAGGCATCTAAGTTTCCTTTTTTTTCATTCGCTTGAATTATATATATATATGATGTAACAAATTTTAATTGGCCATTCAACCTCTCCTAAGGTGGCTTTTGGCCGGAGAATTTACGAGTTTCAGGAGTATTACTCAAAGCGCAGATCATACCTAATTTTTGTATAATAAAAAGTCACACTTCAATATTGGGTTATTTATAAAGACCATGACTTTTAACGGGATTAAAATCAATTACAGTAAGGAAATGTTATTAAACCTTTTCGGGACTTATATCGAGGTGACTTTATAAGAAGGACTACTTTTATTTAATATTATTAATCATGTTTAAGATATTTTAAATGAAATATACGCTGCAGATAAAGAGACTGTGTCACAACTACTTCAAATTTTCTACATCGTTGCAAAAACAAATACAATTTAGTAAATTAACAAACTAACCCTGTTAATATTCATAAACTTTTTTAAAAGCTTTTAAAACATTCAATTTTATATTTAACATAAAATTAGAAATTTATATTAGAAAATAATGTCTTCAATAATTTTTATATACACATACACTAAATAAGAAACAAAGTTTACTCAATGAAAAATACCAAATATATAACAGTAAAAAACATATACACATATTATATTAATTCTAAATACATAATGTATTCATATACATTTCAAATTTACGATATTACACAATTAATGTACGTACGATATATATAACAATATACATGCATATATATATTGGAAAAAAAGAAATAAATTTGTTGAGGTTTTCTTCTCCTACATACATTTTCTCTATTTGTTTTTTTCCCCAATATTATAAAATAAAGTATATAATTTACTCTCTTATATAAGAGCGCAAAAATATAAAATTGTTCAAAAATAAAAATAACTAGACTTTTAAAGTAATTTTTTTCCCTTTTTAAAATTAGTTTAGTTTACGACACGCACATAAACGAATCGTTTTCGGGAACGGATCGCTCGGTGAAGCACATACTTACATATTATACAGAAAATTAAATTAAAAAGTAAAAATAAAATTATTAAAAATAATTAAAATAAATTCCAAATATTGAAAATTTTTTAAAAATGTTTTTTTTTTTTTTACTGTTAAAGTGAAAAATTCTATATTAAAAAAAATTTTATTTTTATTTTTCATACAGAAAAAATTATTATCAAATTGTCGCTGATAGCCACCATACATACATCAACAATATTACATAAAACGAGTATATAATTTATAAAGAAAAAAAGGTAAATTAAATATGTACTTAAAATTAAACTCGTTTTAATACCCACACACATACATACATACACACAAACAAACAATAATATTTCAATTTAAAAATTAAACCCCAAAAATTATTTAATTTCATATTATTTTTATCAAGCTCATTTCTTGATTATATTTTAAAGGAAAGCAACATAAAACCATGTGTGTACTAAAATGAAAATTTTGAAAATAGAATTTACTTTTATATTTCTCTGCATTTATACAATTAAAGTTACATAAATAAAATATAAACAGAGCATTTCACAATTTCATATAGTATGTAAGATTATTCAAAGAATTTCGCTCAATTACTTAAAGGGCACAATAAAGAAAAGGAAAGAAAAAAAAGAAAATCGATTTCTCTCTCTGAACTCAAACACAAAAAGGAAATATACTTATCTATATAACATACAATATATACTCTTATATTATACCTTTCAATAGGTGTATATTATAAAAATGAAAAAAAAAATTAGGACTCTAACCCATTTCGATTCGAACTTCACCACTTTTATAAAAAAAAAGAAAATTCTATATCGTATAAAAGTTTATAAACTGTATAATATTATCTACATATCGTATACAAATGTCAACAACAAAATATCTAATTCTATACATAAATATATATATATGTATGTGCAAAATAATAATAATAAATATGTTACAGTTAGGGATATAAAAATATATAACCAACACTATGGAGTTGAATAAAGGATAAATAAAGTGACCAAATGAATTAAATCGATTCGACTATTTATCCTTTCGAATCGATATTCTCTTTCTGAATTCTTCTAGTTAATTGCAGAATTCTAATATTAATATTGTAGAATCACTGCTTAAGATAAAATTTGTGGTTTTAAAACAAATTGATGTTGGAAAACTTTTATATTTTGAAATTAAATTAAAATAAAAATAAAAAGGAAGATAATGTCTCAAGGAATACAGTTTCATGAGAAAGACTAGAGTAACATAAGCCTATGGAGCATCCTTATGGAGAAAATTTTAATTTTTGTAAACAATTAAATTTCTCAAATTTTTTTAAAATGTTGGAAGTATTAATTTAAAATTTAAATTTTCTTAGTTTTCCAATTTGGATAAAATATTAAAATGTGGTACTTATGAGTTACTTAAAATAGAAAATACTAGAAACATAATTAATTAAACAAATTCTTGGAAATTGATTTAATGAGTTTTAAGCAAAAAATAGTCTTTTTTGATTTCGACTCAGACTGCTTCGCCATTTATTCGTAAAAACTATTTGGAACCTTTAAAAATTAAACTAGAATTGAAAAAAAATTAAAAATAGATAATTTGAATTTAAAATATAAAATTTTCTAAAACTATCGACGCATTGAAATCAAACTATGCATATGTACTATGTACATAAAATTCTTTAAAAGCTGATCCCTTTAAAATTGAAGAATATTGGGCAGAATAGTTGGAAGTTAGCAAGTCGATACAATCTTATTTAACAGAACTGTTTTTATTATTTAAAATTCTAAAAAAAATAAAAATATTTTGTTTTTTCATAATACAACAAAAATATCCGGCCGCCTGATAATAGTGCTGGTCACATTAATAACTGAAGAATTTCAATTATTTTCTTATATTTTTCCTTCTGGAAATTGCCTCAATCTTCCAATCTGATCACAAATCAACACAAGAATTTAATGCTATATTCATAATTTTTACCCTTACCATAACACAATACACTTTTCATTCACAAAACAAAAGAAAAAATAATTTAAAAAAAACATGAAAATAAAATAAAATTTTCTTTTGATCATTAAAAAATAAAAACAAACAAAGATTTATACAACATTCATTTGAATAACATGAAAAGAAATTCAACCGAACTTAACTGAAATTATTTAAGCAACAATAATTCAAAATTATAATCAGATTTTCGCCTATACTTTTTATAAAATTATAATGACAACAATACATTTTGTCCTTTTATAATCATCCTTTTTTTATTATCCTTTTATTATAGTTGTCATTTAAATTGTATAAAAAATCTGTTACAATGTAGTTTATTCATTCAATTTCATTTCCTTATACAAGCTTTGTGAAAAATAACACAAACCTTTTATGAGGACATTTTTTACAAAGCGTTCAATTAGAACGTTTATCGACCGGTTTGATAAAGCGATTGTTTTCGTCTTGTTTTATATTTTTTACAAGAATTTCATTATATTGAGTGAAATAAAAACAAATTTCGTTAAAAAAATTTAAATAAAAAACATATTGTTTGGTAATTGAAATAAAAAACAATTTTTGCAAATGATAGAATAATAGTGATCGGAATAATAGGATCCGATTTAAATTCTCTACCATCAAAGAAAAAATTAAAATTTCAAATTAAACATTTGTTAAAAGAATTCATTTATGCCCCGTTTCAAACTGTTTTCGCCTCTTGTTAAAATGAAACCAAAAGACTTTAAAAATTACTATAAAAGAGTGTTTAAAAATGTCTGTTAGCTTTCAAAGCTTTTTTTACAAATTTAATGTAGAGCTTGTATTGTTTGTATTATCAGAAATAAAGGGTTCTTAAATTCTTAAAGATGTCATTGATTAATATTTAAAAGTCGACAAAATTACATCCTAATTAAAAAGACTGGGTCAAAAATTAAAAGTGAGTTAAATATGTGAGTAATATGAAATCTTATTAATAACCCTCCAAATCCGATGATAATTTTGTTATAACACTCAATCATTATTTTATTTAAAATAAAATTCATTCTTTCTCTATAAGTGCTATAAATTAAAAGTACTTAATCTGAGTTCTGCTTTAAGAATAAAATTCTAATGGAAATGAAATTCTTTTCACAGACAAACAAAAAAGAACAAGAAAATTGTCTTAATTATGCAGGGATTAAAATATTATCGTAGTATTGTGTTGGTTGCCATAAAAAAATTTTAAGAAATTGAAAAAAAAAACCCATTAAATTTTCTGAGAAAAAAAGAGAAATTAAAAAGTCAATTTAAGTTTCAAGAAATTCTGATATTTCCGAAAAATGTTTAGTTTATTGTTAAAGTAAGCTACAAATTTTATATTTTCCCATTAAATATATATAGATAAACTTGTAAATTTTTTTACAATCTTTTCCATATAAGTTAATTCTATCCGAGAAATTTCGTTAATTATTTTCTCTTTGCCTACAAATTATGAAACCAGCCTGTACTAAAGATCCAATTGCGAACACCTTATATATTACACAAAAATAAAGTTTACCTATTCAGCTGTGACAACAATAAACTCATATATAAATTTTTAGTAGACCGAAATTAAAATCCAGTAGTGCACAGACAAACTCATAGACAGACAGGCTGATGCTCTTCTTATTCCTGTGCCATTCCTGTGGAAAAATCGACATATTGTGAAATTTGATACCACCATAAGATCTCCGCTTTTTCTGAATGTATGCAATACAATCGGAAAATATCACATCTAGAATAAAACATCAAAATTGCATACTTTTAGGAAACATTATGGAATTTTTTTTAGTAATAACTGACAAAAACATAAAAATATTGATTGAAATTTTCACTTAATACTTAAAACAAAGAATAGTTTTATTCTACAGACAAATAATCAATTTGTAGTTTCCAAAGCCATTTTACCACTTGGTATTTTATGAGTTTCATAATCAGGGTACAATGTATTTTATATAAATAGGCAATTATAAATAAATTCCGTTACGTTAAATGCGAATATTTTTATTTTTTTGTTATAAATTCTACTCCAATTACCCTGTACGTTTGAGATTAATTGAAACCAATTAATGAAATTAATTGACCGATTATTTAAATCTAAACTTTTTTTTTGTATGAATTTGAATTTGCTCCACAGCATATTTTCCATATTTTAATATTTAAAAGATAGAACAAATCTAATAATTTTTTTTTTAAAAACAAAATTTCATAAGCCTTTTAATTTGCTATTTATTTACTATCGTCAAAATAAAAAAAAAAACATCAAAAAGTTTATTCTGTGCTAATGAATTTATTTATACTGCAATAAATTTAATATTTTCAAAACAAAAAAACAAACACAAAATAAATTATTCTCTTTCTTGACTATTATTTTGTTCATTTGTTGAAGAATAATATCTTTAAATTAATAGACTGTACAAATACTGTATAAAATTTTACTCAAATACGTATATATGTGTATATGTTTTATATAATTATCTTAAAATACAATATTCATTCAAGTATACGTCACAAATATGTACGTCAATTTATTTTAACCTTGAGAAACCAAAGTGTATTATACATTTGTATGTATGTAGGAAATATTAAGCTAAATAACTAATAATATAGGATTTTAATTTAGCAATTGCATGCAGACGTTGCGATTATAACTTTAAGAAATTTTATTATGAATTATGGTAAGCCTATATAAATGTCCGATTTCGAAAGTAATCATACAAAATATTATGAAAATTAGAAAAGATAATATTTTTTGTAATGAATTTATTTTGACGATATTTTGAGAAAATTTTAACGAAATTGTAAACTTGTAAATTGAGGATGATAATACTTTGTGACATCATAGCCGATGATGGAATAAAAATTTTTTTTTTACATTTTTGTCGATGAATCAAAAATTATTCTTACTGCTTAATACTATTTGTCGACATATTGTCTCATTGTAAGTTGCAAACGATAGGTATTCAATTTTTTTCAACAGAAAAATTAAAAAGGAAATACATAGAGGCTGTTGTTATGGAAACGTGATATAAGTTTGCTACATTAAATAAACTCGCAAAAAAACGTAATTTATGAAGACACATCACATCAATAGACATAAAACGCTTCTAATATATAATGAGTTGTTAGTAGCTAATTCAATTTCTTATTTTTGAAGCATTCGTAAACCAAAATTTTATCTACAACTTTATCATTTTGGTCTTCTCACACCCAAAATTAATTCGTTTATGTATAAATTATGAAAATTATTTTTTATATCAGATGT